GTAATGGTAGGGGAGAGGATTTTATACTTGGGGATAAGAAAGAAAATACTTGAGGTGATACTTGTTTTTTTTAATAAAATTTTTGAAATTACAATCAAAAAAATAAAAAGACAAATGAATTCTATTTTTATTTATTTTTTTATGAGACGACGTCTTGCTCTGTTTCCCAAGCTGGTGTGCAGTGGTGTGATATTGGCTCACCTCATTGTCTGCCTCCAGGGTTCAAGTGATTCTCCTGCCTTTGCCTCCCTAGTAGCTGGGATTGCAGGCACCCTCCATCATGCCTATCTAATTTTTATATTTTTAGCAGAGCCAGGGTTTCGCCATGTTAGCCACACTAGTCTTGAACTCCTGATCTCAGGTGATCTGCCCACCTCGGCCTCCCAAAGTGCTGGGATTATAGGTGTCAGCCACCACCCCCAGCTGAATGAATTTTTTAAAAAAGAATGAAAATACTTGCTGACAAATGGTGTACGAATGGTAAAGGGAACAAACTCCTGGTTTTCTACCTTAAATAAATGGGTAGATGGTGGTGCCATGTATTAAGAGAAAAACTGGAGGAGAAGCAAAATGCTCATGACATAGCCAACTATATCACACTTAGAAGAAAAAAAGTAAAACCCAGTTGTGCTTGTTCAGGGGTAGCTAGGAATTAAAGGCCTGAAGCTGCTACCCTGGTGAAGATAAAGTGTTTGGGGGTTATGATAGAGAGTAAAGTGCAAGAATCTGAATGGATGCCCTAGGAAACGGGTTCCACTTAATTCAGACATAGGGAAGGAGTTCAGCCTGATGTAAGTAAAGGCTATCTCAAGGTCAGAGTGAAGTGAGCTGCCCTGGGAGTAGGAGAGAGTGAATGATGACTTCTCTGTCATTGGAAGGGTTAAAGAAAAAAATAGATGACCCCTTGACTAGAGGGATAGAGAGAGAATTCAGTAATTGAATAGAGTAAATGCTACATAAAATCCTTCTAAACTCTGGAATTCTGCGCTTTCAAGATAAAATCTTAATTAATCTAACCTTCAGGACTGGAGTTTCTCCAACAGGCCAGAACTCCCTTGGTACGTCCTACCTCTCAGAAGGCAAATGAGAATGTTAGCTAATTTTGGTCACTATAAAGTGACTCCTAGTTCATTTCTAAGTGTCATACAAGATGCCGAAAGCTTTTTGGTGTAGGTAAAAGGGACAAGCTATGGAATTGGATATCCCATATCAGCAATTTATTAGCGCTGTGTCCTCTGGCAAATTATTTAAATTCTCTGAGTCTAAATTTATTTCTTTGAAATGGGGGGAAAGCAATGCCTACCTCAGGATGTTTACTGTGAGGACCAAAGCCTAGTACCTGATATATTCTATTAAGAATAATAATGAGGCCAGGTACAGTGGCTCATGCCTGTAATCCCAGCACTTTAGGAGGCTGAGGCGGGCAGATCACCCGAGGTCAGGAGTTAAAGACTAGCCTGGCCAACATGGGGAAACCCCATCTCTATAAAAACACAAAAATTAGGCCGGCGTGGTAGCAGGCACCTGTAATCTCAGCTACTTAAGAGGCTGAGACAGGAGAATCCCTTGAACCTGGGAGGCGGAGGTTGCAGTGTGCTGAGATCGCACCTCTGAACTCCAGCCTGGGCAACATGAGAGAAACTCCATCTAAAAAAAAAAAAAGAAGAATAGCTAACATCTATTACTACAGATCTATAACTATATGCTAGGCATGCGTTAACATGCATTTTTTAAAAATCCAATCCTTATAACAACCCAGAAAGCAGCCACTATTATCTTCCCTGTTGAAAAATCAGAAAATTGATTTCTGAAGGTTAAGTGACTTATCCAAGAGTCATATAATTAGTAATTGCCCAAATCAGGAAAAACAACTTCCACAAAGGTTGAGAGGAAAAGACAAAACAAACCCCATATTTAGATAAATTGAAAAAAAGGAATCTGCCATTGAATTAACAAACAATTCAATTAACTAACTAGTCATTTAGTAAACATTTATTGAACATATAAATAAATAATTGAATGAATGAATGATTTCAATGAACATTTGTTGAGTTCCTGCTAGGCACAGCATCAAGAAACTAGGGTACAGAAAATGTACATCAATTTAATTTAGAGTTTGCCATTAACACTACAATCTTCAAACTGCAAATAAATTGCCAACATAACAACACTTAGACTATGATAAAAGGTCCTAAAAAGTGCCATTTTCAGCTAAGCGCAGTGGCTCACAACTGCAGTCCCAGCACTTTGGGATGCCAAGGTGGGCAGATACCTTGAGCTCAGGAGTTTGAGACCAGCCTGGGCAACATGGTGAAATTCCATCTCTACAAAAAATACAAAAGTTAGTCAGGTGTGGTAGCATGTGTCTATGGTCCCAGCTACGTGGGAGGCTGAGGGGGGAGGATCACTTGAACCCGGAATGTGGAGGCTTCGGTGAGCTGAGATCACACCACTGTACTCCAGCCTGGGTGACTCTGCTCTTTTTTGGAGTAGTCAAAACTCTTAAAGGAGAGCTCCGAGCAGTAGGCAAAGAACCAAGAGCACACAGCAATGGAAACTGAGGAAGGAGGCATTCTCAAGATGAGTAAGACTTCCAAAGGAAGCAGAAATCTAAAAGAACAAAGGCTAAACAAATGGCTGACTTCATAAGTAGGAGTTTGTCAAAGGACTTCTCTGGAACTGAGGGGGAAAGAAACCAAGTTTCAAAGGGCAACTGGATGAATGGGTTAAAGAGGAAGAGGAGGGAGTCTTTTAAGAAGTTTGGCAATAAAAGGAGGGAAAGAGAAAGAAAAGTAAGTAGCCTGATGAGAAGAAGCAGCAAGACTGTTAATAAGAGTATAAGGTGAGGAGCAAGAGATAAAAGAAAAGAAAAAGCTGAAGACAGAAGATAGATGGAGAAGATGCAGGAAAGAAACAGAAGGACCAGACCCTAGCACCTCAATAGGTGAGAGGATAGAACACACAAAGGAAAGGCTACCCTTGGAAAAGAAGTCACCTTCTGCTCTAAGACAGAAATGAAAGAAAAGAGATTTTGACAATTGGACATGTTACTCTGAATCAAGCTTGAATACAGAACAGAGTGATCAAATTGAATAACACTATTTTGAACTTAAAATAATATTGATTTTCTTGAATCACTCATAACTTGGCATTGAAAAGGACAATGACCATTTGGATATAAGTTCTATACAGTTAAAAATCAGCATCTTTTTTTTCTGGATAGGAAGGAGGACTTATTGGTGGGCATTAGGAGGGAGCAGCAGAGTGGAAGCCCTCATGAATGCAGGGCCTGCTACTTGCCCAGAGGCCATGACTGGGGATGCATTTGACCCCACAGTCATCTGGGGTGAGCCGCTTCTCATCCCAGAGCCACCATGTCTTCAAATTAATCTGTACTGGCCGGGCATGGTGGCTCACGCCTGTAGTCCCAGTATTTT